GGATTAGAAGAAGGAATAAAGGAGAGACGTGTAGGGTTGCTTACCACCGGGTTCTCGGGAGACACGGTACATTTCCGACATAGCCATTGTCCTTCGGGGATGTATGGAACACCATAGCAGTCTACGGGATGAAGTCAGGGCCATTCGGTCGACCAACAACATAGGAACCCTCACCTTGGTGAACCGCGAGATTACAGCCGTCGCAGAATACAATGGCATTGCTGTTCTCGCCCTCTGAATCATCGCAAATGGCGCACGTCGAGTCCTCCGAGGGGAGCGCCAAATCGGGTTTAGGTATATGTTTGGTCTTGAAATAGAAGGTCAGGAATAATTATCGCTCGCAACGAGAGACTGGCTACACACCAGGTTGAACCACTCCTTCTCCAGCCGGTCCATCACCACCTCGAAGACCTCATAGGTGACTCTGTCCAGCTGCTCCTTCTTGCGTTCTGCGTTTACCGCATCGAGCCATTCCTGATCTGCCGGAGGTGTAAGTCGGTCGCGAAAGACGCGCAGACAACAAGCGCGCGGGCGGGTGCGTACCCTGCTCGTCCATGTCGTACTCCACCTGCCGCTCCAGGTCGATCTCCAGTGGTTCTGCAATAGCGTTCTTTACCGACACGCGATTATAAGCGAGAATTGCACGCACCTATATGGCGAATGTACTGGTCCGGTCTGTGAAAGTCGGAAAAGTCGTTGTCTAGGACGTGTTTCCGTGAGCCCGCGCGCCACTCGACCAGCCCACAAAGGACGACGTACACCCGAAGCCGCGCGCCTGGAGATCGTGCACACCGCTGGGTTGGGTGGACACATCGTCTTCAATCTTCTCGAACGCTACTTTGGGCAGCGCCGGCGCCGGCGCGACAGGGGAGACGTGGCCGCCGCGAGCCATTTGTGCTGCCTGACGCGTACAGTCCAAGCCTCCACTGTACACAATTTCTTAATTGGACTCGGAGGACAAACGCTTGTTGTCGTTTGTTTCCTTTCGAACGCTTTACGAATAAAATAAAATATTAATTCTACAAAATTACAGAAAGATGAATTTCCCCGCGGTTACAGCTCGGTCTGGTCCTTTCCGACGTGCGGCTCATCCACCTTCACCGTCTCCGGAGTCGGGGTCGCTTCCGTCGTCGGCTTGGCCGCCTCAGTCTCCGCCTTTACGGCTTCCGTCTCCTCCGCCTTGGCTGCGGTCTCAGCCGACGCCGCTTCGCCCTCCGTGGCCTTCTTCAGCGGCGGAGGGGAGCCAAAGCCATGGGTGTCATGGTAATTCTCGGCGTTACCGTTCAGCACGGCCTGCTCAAAGTCGATGAGGTCTGCGAATCCGCCGTGGAGAAGGGCTATCCGCTGCGCCTCCTGCTTGCGCTGGATCTCAAGCTCCTCCTCGGTCGGCTCAAACTCCTCCGCCTTGGCCTCCTCGTTGATCACGGTGAGGTCGGCGGTGCCGTCGATGACAGAGTCGAAGAATTTGCTCAAAGAGTCGAGCTTGTTGATACCTAGATGGGATTAGGCTTGGGGGTATTTGCAAGGGAACTAAACCCGAACCTTCATACCGGAACGGCTTGGTCGATCCTGGAGAGTAGACAAGAACCTTGGACTCCTTCTTCTCCCCTGCTTCGAATCCCAGAGCGACGGAGGACTTGCCCTTGCGGTCACGATGGGTCCCGAATTCCAGCTGCCCCTTGTATTTGTTTGCGAGAACTTTCCAGAGGAGCGGCACCTTCTTGTCCTTCGTCAAGAGGAGCGTACGCTTCTGGTCGACCGTCTGCAGACAACGATGAATTCTTTTCATTTTGCGGAGCGATACTTGTCCCTCACCTTCTCGATCCACGGAACGAGATCCTCGGTCTTGTACAATTTGGTGTAGGAAGCGGGCACCCGGCGCGTCGCATAGTAATAGAAAGCACTAGCGGTGCGTTCACCAGAGTCGTAAAGCATAGGCGGAACCGCACTCCCTCGGGGGAAGAGCTGCATTCAAGTTAACATCCTTTAGCCGCACAGTAGGGATATAAGTAATTCACCTTGACGGTGGGGAATCCCTGAACACCCTGTTCCGCACACAAGCGCTTGTTCTTCTCTTCGTCGCAGTCAACAGCATAGAGGGGAAGCAGCGGGTGGAGACCGAGGGCGGCCTTGCTGTATTCCGGCGCCATTCGTTGACAGTGCTGATTCAGACATGGTAAGTCGCGAAGCCAGCGATGAAGCAGTGGTCATACCCCACACCAAGGAGCGACGAAAGCAACCATGCTAGTTTGCTACGCAGGAGATCAACGAAATGCAGCGATAGATTGAACCAAACCACGAACGTTAGCTTTCATGGCCTTCTTGAAGCTTTTGGCGTCGAGCATCTTCACGAGCGAGTCTGGTGGGAAGACCGCCGCCGACGCGAATGCCGGTACCAAGACGAGCGACAGCAAGAGTCGGGTGGAGAGCATGGTGAAGTTGAAGGTAGAGGTACAGGTGAGAGTGCCTAAATTTATTGGAAATCGGGAACCAATCCGGTGCCCGGGGACACGTCAGTCGCTTTCCCTCGGAGAACCGGCAGTCGAAAGCGGTTTCAGTTCCTGGCCAGGATTTATATACGCGTGTGAGACGAGGACAGACGCGTATCCGGTACCGCAGGCCTGGTCGAACCCGATGGACGACGTGAAGAGAAAGGATTGACTCAAGTCACAGTCGCGTGTCGTGACGACTCCTGTTCACGAACGACCATCACGGGCAAACTTCAAGATCGCGGGGAACACGACTGGGCCGCAGTGATACGACTCCAACTTCATATCCACTCACTAAAAATACTGGAACTCTTCGCGGCAGTACATATGGGCCACTTCCTCGGATTAACTCGAATTTTGAGGAGCTAGAGGAGCCATAAATCGAGGACTTTACAGGTCAAATGCGCTCAACATGTTCTCCGCAATGCAATGGAATGTTCTTCTCTCTGTCTAAACTGTCCAACGCCGCGTGTTTCTGGATCCGAGTCCTCGAGGCTACTAACCCATCACGCACCTGGCGCGTGCATCCACGTCCTTATCCTGCTTTAAAAGCCTTGCTCAAGTATCTGGCTCTATCAACCACGCTTCCCAGCTACCATACTCTCTCTTGCACACCAACATGATTCCCGTCGGGGACTTCAACTTTGTCGTCTGCGGATTCGCCACACTCGCAGCTACCGTCGGGTATGCGTACACTCGCAAGGCTCGCCCACTCCCGTCGTATGCAACGAATTCGTGCAAGACTTTGTGCCACAAACTCACTCGAAGCTGGCAGACGTGTTCTCTCGCAACAAAATACGCTTGAGGACCAATCTATCGTGCAATCGTCGTCGAGCAAGGTCGACCCCGAAAAAGCCATGAACGAAGCTGACGACGACAATGCCCTCCCCGAGCCAGCTCCTGTCCCCTCGCCCAACATGGTCCTCGAAACACCAGTGCCTGACCCTGATTATGACGCCGAGAGTATCATCATACCTGAAGTCTCTATCGAAAACAGCTCCCTGAAGCGCAAGCGCACGCACGAAGAAGTCGACCCCGTACGTCTCCGTAATTCAGGACGGATTCCGGTGTTGTTAACATACCTCTCCAGGAAATGGCATACCCAAATGTTCGTTTCCTTGCCTCCACAGGACGGACGACCGCGCTCGCCCCGCTCACCATCCACCAGAATCTCAAGTCGATCTACCCACCTAGCAAACGCCGCGGGTCCATTTCCGACGAAGAACCCACCGAAGTTGCTACAGTCCGTATCCTCTGCGAAGAACCCATTCGTTTTTTGATTTGGTGCCCCGAAGGAGATCGTTGTCGTCGAGCGCTGTGACTCTCCAAGCGAGGAGCAGCCGCCTGCATTGGCCACCGCCGACCCGGTCCCCAACCCGGATTCTCCAGTCAAAGAAAATGTTGCGCCTCCTAAACCCGAGCAGCCTATCTTCGCAGAACTCCCCCGCTTTGCGTTCCCAAAAACTCCTCCTCGCGTGACGCCCCACTTCCCCTTCACGGTCCGTCCAGCCATGTTCATCGAGATAGCCTAGCTAACCACCGCCCACCTCTAGCGGAGTACCACCGCCTCACCGGGTTTTGCCAACTTTGCCGCCGGCTCCTCGTCCCCGTTCTTCTCCCCCAGTCCGTTCAGCGCTGCAAAACAACCAATCTGGGCCAGCACCACCACCACCGAAGGAGACTCGAACTTGAAGGTCGGCGACGATGAATCCGCGGCTCTCGCACCCGCCAAGACTCCATCGTCGTCCTCGTCGCCCCTTGCCGTACACATACAAACTCGTCAGTAGTGCCCCTCTCTCTATATCTGCCGAACCTCTCAACCCGCATCTAACCAACAGCTCCAACTGGCGAGGAAGACGAGGACGTAGCACTCGAGCTCAAAGGCGCGAAGCTCTACATCAAACGCGGCGAGGACGCCCCCTTCTCCGGCGGCATGCCCGGCCACTTCAAGCTCCTCTCGCACAAGACCGCCCCGTTCGCCAAACGATTGTGTTCGTCTTCCTCCGAGTCCCCCTTCATTCAAGTCGTTTTCTGATTTTCACGAGTAGTATTCCGAAGGGAGCCGCTGTGGAAGGTGTCGATGAACGTGCGTCTGCAGCCGACCGTGCGCTGTACCTTCGACGCCCAGGAGAACGTGCTCCGCGTTGCGCTTAAGGAGCTGCCAGTGGAGGACAGGTGGGAAACGGGGACGGGGGCGGGGATGGGGATGGGGATGCCTGCGGCGCAGACGGTCATTTACGCGTTCAAGGTGTGTCCAAAGCTACTACTTATGGGGTGCCACATTATTCACTCGATGTTCAGCCCGGCCGGTCGTGTCGAAAGAGCGACTTTCAGGATTTTGCAGAGGCGTTGGTCGCGCAGGCGCGGGAAGGGGGGCAGTTGTAACTTTTTTCGTACCAGTCAATGTGTCGTATGTACGGCTGCTAGGTTGTGTTAAGTTATGGAACATTTTGGTTCGACATCATAAGAAACTGTGGACAAAACCGAAAAAAAAGATCAGAAATAAGGTCACTCTCAACCTGGGAGTCGAACCCAGCTTTCGCGGGCGTGGATTACCGACAAGCGTGTACTAACCGCTATACTAATCGAGAGCTGCGGCGGGCGCTAGTCGATCAAGTACGTAGGCGCGGCCGGGAATCCCACCACAGTGGCAAAGTCTCACGTACTCGGCTTCTTCCTCGGCTTCCTCCTCAGACGCAACCACCACCTGCAATGGGATACTCATCCAGATGGGACCAGAAACAACCCGCTTCAACCTCTCGAGTTGGTGAGATACCATTACCTCGACCGCGAAATTCAGGCAACGGGACTCATCTGTATTCTTCTGACGACACCTCACTCTCTGCGCACCTCGGTACACCCAATGGCCTCGATTCGGGATGAAAGCACGGTCTCCTTCGCCAGTTTCTGAGAGGGACCGCCACCGCGACTCGTACTCTTCACGAACTTCGCGCGACGGTCGTGATAGGGAGACGAGTGCGAGGCCCGACGTTCGTTTTCGAGTCTGTCCGCGTCGTTTCAGGGTTTATTTAGGCTTTACTCTAGGTTAACGTGGCGCGACGACGGGATGGGAGCGCGGAGTCCGAGTCTCGCTCGCGGTATGAAGGGAAACACTCTGTGCGCAGTCTTCTTCTGTCTGTTTTCCCGTCTCTCACTCACGTTGGACTGTAGAGTAAACGGCCGCGGAGCCCCAGCCCGCGTCGGGAGGACAGAGACGGATCCGTCAGCAGCAGCGTCAGTATCTTTTAATCTCCGCGAAGGCTGCTGCACTATATCCTGAACGTATGTATGCAGCGCCGCCGCCACGACCATCGCACCGTGAGCAGGAGCCCCAGTCGGGAGCGCCGTCACCACCGCCACGGTTCTGCAGTGGTACGTCTGCCCTCAATCTCAAGGGAAATAATGGGTTTTGACCTCGCAAGGTGCTGTCATGTGAACCATGATTTCTTTTCTACAATTACCAGGACAAAGACGAGTACACGAGTCGCGACAAGGACAAGGGCAAGGACTACGAAGGAGGCTCTTCGTCCCACGGCCGGAAGCGCAGTAGCAAGCGAAAGAGCCGCCATGAGGACGAGGACGACAGCGAGGACTCTGAGGAGGATAGAAAGCGACGAAAGCGGAGAAAGGAGCGAGAACGTTCCAGGGACAAGGAGGAAAGAAGGAGCGTCTTGACCGGGAAAAAGGCAAGGACTTGCTCATTGCCGTCACACGACCGAATGCTTATTTGTTTGAAAGATAAAACTCAAGGTCAAAAAGGAAAAGGGGGACGAGGAGCGCGACGCTAACCGCCAGGACTTGCTGCAGTTCTTGAATTCCATGTAAATAATAGAGTATTTGTGGGATGGAATATATTTTGCGATCTTTGTGAAATGAAGTGCCCGTTTTGGAATGCGAGTGCCGTGACGACGCGTTGGACACCTCACCACCTTTACGCGTTTCTCGCGGCAGCTTTTTGTCCTGAACCACAACACACACAGAAATGGACACCGACTTGATAAAGCTTGTGAACAAGCTCCAGGACACCTTCAATAACCTTGGTGCGCTCTCGTCTCTATTGGCGCCGGCATAAATTATTCAAGCTTTTTTCGATAGGAGGGGAGCTGGACATGCCCCAACTGGTCGTTGTGCGTAGCATTGAGCAAAGTACAAAGGTTTCTGTGACTTACGAGCTCCCAGGTGGGCAGTCAATCGGCAGGAAAGTCCAGTGTCCTCGAGACGTGAGTTGCTAGGTACTTTCCTACCGCCACTCGCTCATTTGCTTCCGTAGCATCGTGGGACGGGACTTTCTCCCTCGAGGCCAGGGCATCGTGACGCGTCGGCCACTCGTCCTCCAACTCATACACACACCCGAGTCGAGCGATCCCTCGCCCAGTAGCCCGACGTTCCGCGAATGGGCGCAATTCCTTCACATTGACAAAAAGTTCACCGACTTTGGCGACATTCGCAAGGAGATTGAGCAGGAGACGTTTCGGGTCGCGGGGCAGAACAAGGGGGTCAGCAAGCTGCCTATATCCTTGCGAATTTACAGCCCGGATGTGCTGGACTTGACCCTCGTCGATTTACCGGGCTTGACCAAAGTGCGTGTTTGCTGCAGGTATTATTGTCCCGTTAGCATTAACGCGTTCACAGATTCCCGTAGGAGACCAACCAAGCGATATTGAACGGCAAATTCGCAATTTGGTGCTGGATTATATCTCCAAACCCAACAGGTGTGTGTTTTCTGCATTGCCATACACCGCGACATCCTGACGCGCCAAAAGTGTGATTCTTTCCGTTTCCCCCGCCAATGTCGATCTGGCCAACTCCGAGTCGCTCAAGCTCGCGCGCCAAGTCGACCCACAAGGCCGCCGAACAATCGGTGTCCTCACGAAGCTCGACTTGATGGACGCCGGCACTAACGCGCTGGACATTCTAACCGGCCGCGTCTACCCGCTCAAGCTCGGATTCGTCGGCATTGTAAATCGCAGCCAGCAAGACATTATGACGGAGAAGAGCATGGACGCCGCTCTGAACAGTGAGACCGAGTTTTTCAAAAGCCACCCCGCCTATCGGAATATCGCGCACAAGAACGGGACGAAATATTTGGCAAAGTCCCTGAACCAGGTGCGTCATCTTGCACTCAAGGAGGATGAGATGCTTACCTTGCGCAGGTCCTCATGAACCACATCCGAGACAAGCTCCCCGACATGAAGGCGCGGCTGAATACCCTTATGGGCCAGGCTCAACAGGAGCTCAACTCGTTTGGCGATTCAGACAGCTTTGGGGACCAAAACCAGGTTCGTAGCATCTCCTGCTTGATATTAGCATGCTAACGAAGCAGAGCAGCAAGGAGCGCTCATCCTGCGCCTAATGACCCAATTCGCACGCGACTTTGTCTCCTCCATCGAGGGCACAAAGGTTGACATCTCGACGAAAGAGCTCTCCGGTGGCGCGCGGATATACTACATATTCAACGATATTTTCGGGCAGGCCCTGGACTCGATCGACTCGACGCAGAACCTCGAGAATCAGGATATCCGAACAGCGATTCGCAACTCAACAGGACCCCGTCCGAGTCTCTTCGTTCCCGAGATCGCATTTGATCTACTCGTGAAGCCCCAGATCAAGCTGCTGGAAGCCCCCAGTCTGCGGTGCGTCGAGCTCGTCTACGAGGAGCTTGTGAAGATCTGTCATAATTGCACGAGCACGGTAGATATTATTTCTGTCGAACATGCTCAGCGGCTGATATTTCGTAGGAGCTGCAACGGTTTCCTGGTCTGCACGCCAAGCTCATCGAAGTGGTTTCCGAGCTGCTACGAGAGCGACTTGGTCCCACATCCGACTATGCGCAGAGCTTAATCGCAATACAGGCGGCGTATATCAACACCAACCACCCCGCCTTCATTGCAGGCTCTGCTGTCGCTGCGCAGCAGGCTAGCTCTCCCCCAGTCCGCCAGATGCCTCTACGAGTGAGCTTCGACCATTGCTTACGTCACTCCATATGAACGTATTTTCCAGCCTGCATCTACCGAACCTACAAATGGGGCCGGCACAGACGAGGAGGCGGACTCCTCGGACGAGAACGGTCTTCCCAATGGGATCTTCCCCTCCCGCGGCAATGACCGTTCAGTATCGGCCACAATGCACGATCGCGCGCGGACATCGACCGGGTCCGCGCCCTCTTCTAACAACACCATCACCGTCCCCGCAAGAAAGTTCCAGAACCAACGACCCCACTCTGCTATGGCGCAGACGCACCGCGGCTCGCCGCCGTCGGCGCGGGAAACGTTCTTGAACTACTTCTTTGGGCAGAATGGGCCGGGACCAATCCAGGGGTCGAGTATTGAGCATGTCGGGCACCAGACGCGGCCGAGTGGAGGTGGCGTGCCCAGCGTCGTGCCGGTTGGGCGCGACGTCTCGGGTGGGGATAACTCTAATGCTATTTCGATCGCGTCGGGATTGCAGGGGCAGCGGGACGGTCACAACGCCGCGTACGATATGAAGAGCTTGGGGAAGCATATCGAAGCTGTGAGTAGAACTGTGAGCAGCGTGTCTTCGGTTGTACATGACTGAGGCGTGCGTATCTGCAGATTCCATCCGACGGGAGCCGCCTCACCCTCCGAGAGGAGATGGAGACGTCGCTCATCCGCTCGCTCATCGCGTCGTACTTTGGGATCGTTCGTCAGAGCATCCAGGACCTCGTCCCGAAGGCGATCATGCACTTTCTCGTCAACCACACGTCGTACCATGTGCAAAACCGGCTCGTCGCGTCGCTGTACAAGCCCGAGCTGTTCCAGGACATGCTGCACGAGGACGAGGGGCTGGTGGCGGAGCGCACACGGGTCAAGGCGCTCCTCGATGCGTACAAGGAGGCGTTCAAGACCTTGTCGGACGTTAATGTGAAGCCGACATAAAATTACGACGCATGCGTGCGAGCACCCCCACGTCATTTTACGCATTTCATTCACGTTTAATATACATATACGCTAGTTCAATTGGATCCCTAGACAGTATCATGAATCGCTTTCCCGCTCTAGACAATATTTCCTTTCTTTGGCCGCTCAAATTCATTCGCATCGTGAACAGGAGGGAGGGGTGGAGTGGAAACAAAGTCCACAAAGAGATGCCATTCCGTCTAAGTATCAACACAGGATAGTAACAACCAAACACACAACACGAGAACCAGTAGTACGAGATGTAGATAGCAGCGACAGATATAGCGGCGGGATCCCAAGCTGGGAGGGGGAGCATGGAGGGCAGTCCAGTCCGAATTTCGCGCGGCGTAGGAAGCGGCGTTTATTAAGGGGCGGCTTCGGTGGCCTCTGAGGTGGCCTGGGTCTCTGTGGTAGTCGCAGCAGGTGGCTGCGACTGCGACTTGACCGCCACCCACTTTTCCTTCTTGGGGACGCCCTCCGCTGTGGCATCGGGCGCGGGGGTGGACTCCTCTTCCTCGGAGGTGACCGACTCTTCGGTGTCGGCTTCCATGCCCGTGGTAGTGTCAGACTCAGAGCTGGAGGAATCAGTGGAGGGCTCATCGGCGGCTGGGGTTGCCGCCGTCGCTGTGGTGGATTCAGTGGCAGTGGTAGGAGCAGCGGTGGTGTCGGCAGAA